TTATTCCATTTCAATGAAACTTAGTACAAAGATGCTCTAGGACAATGTACAAACCTAATTAGTTTGGGGTAAAAATCTGTTCATATTAATTCCCTAATAAGCATAATAATTCATAATTTTTTGGTTCTAATCACATTTCAATTAAACTTGGAGACATAGATTTTCTGTTACATTGCGCAGACCTCATTAGTTTTACACTCAAATCTGGTCATATTAATTTTCTGATTTGCATAATTAGTTTTCAGCTAAGTAATTTCGAATTATATTTAATGTGTCTCCAATGCTCTCAGCACATGGGAGTTCTTTCTAAGCTTTCTTTGATTTCACAGTTTCACTTAAATCATACTATTTTCAAGGATACTCGCATATTTCGGTTTTGCTAGTTTATATTTTAAAGTCATAATCCTGAAATTTCCTAACTGTCTGAGGACCAGAGCTCGTCCATAATTTTTTTAGATGGCTTTATTTTCGCCCAATTTCTCAAAAATAAAATGTCTGTTGTTCAAATTATTGTGCGTTTTACTTGAGTTGTGCTATTTTCGAAGTAACTAGGGTGTTTTAATTTGATGACTTTAGAAGAGGATTATAACCCAGGTTAAAACAAAAGAAATAATGTAGTTGCCTGTCCCTCTCTTTCTAAAGTCTATGATGAAATTACCAGTAAGCATTTCTTCTATTTTGGAACCAAATCTTGGTCATGGTCATGTATATTCAAACTTGGTACATACATTGTTCATTGTAGGACCTTGATGTACTTCATTGTGTGTTTTTCAGATCAGATTCAAAATGTCTGACTGTTAGCCATCTTGTTTCTAGGTCCATATCTGTGATGTCATGACCGTTCATTTTCAAAATTAATTTATTTATCATACATGTCACACATATGCACGTGCATTCATTCACAGTTCAACATTCCTGAATGGCAGCCATTTTAGAATTAATTTTAGAATTTTTGCAGTTCCGGATCTGAATCTCAGTAGTCCATGACCTGAATTGTTCGAACTTTGTATGTACAGTAAACATGATTGGACCTTTATTTGTTTTTCTCATAGGATTCAAAATGGCTGACTGGTGGCCATTTTGTCTACTCGTTCTGTTCTGGAGCAATATCTGTGACATGCTCTATCCGTTAATGTTTAAAACATGCAATTACTAACAGACATTAAGTAATGGAATTATTTGTTAAAACTTGTTTATGTGACTTTCTTATTTATAAACAAAATTAAATGTTTAATTTATTTTACTTGTTATGTTATTAGGAAACTGCATCACTGATCATGGAGTCGTGACGTTATTGAAGTGAAAAGGTGTTTGTATTATTGAGATGAATAACCAAGATGGTATTTGGCATGGTGGTAAAAAATCTACAAGAACATCTGTAAGTAATACAGATCTTTTGACTTCTGTCCAAAGGAGACATTCTTCTACTCCGCCATCATCACCACGACGATTTCAAGATCTTTCTCCATCATCATTGTCAAGATATGCCCAAGATTGTTCATTCTTAGAAGACACGCTGCAAAGTACAGATTCATCCAGACAATCTGATAATAAACCGTTAATCCGTAATATTTTTCAGTATGATATTGAGGCAATTAAAAGTGTTGCTCGTAATGGAGGGAGGCATAGAACTATTTCTGACTCAGAAAAGGAAAAAGAAATAGGTCAACAAAAACTCGCAGCCAAGTTGAATGCGAGTGTGACAAATTATGAATCAAATCAAACACGAGATAGACTTAAATCAGATAGTAGCCAAAATGAGAATACATTCCGAGAACGGGCGCATAGTTTTACTAACAGTGCCATACCAACTGGTAAAGGTGCATTAAAATTATACGAGGCCACTAGAGAAACCTTGAAAGATGATTTTAAAAACTACACCCCAAATAGTGGCAAATCTGTTGAACAGTTCATAGAAGCACCAAGAACACTTGTTGTTAAGAAGGGAGAAAGCAAAGATGGTCTTCTCAACTTTACAGCCTTTGTATATCTTATACTGTGGTATTTGTTCAGTTTTTGTACACTGTTCCTAAATAAGTATATATTATCAGTTCTCGGTGGCGATCCAAGTCTGTTAGGTAAGTAACACCAATTTGAACTGTCTTACTTAAATTCAGCAGTCTGACCTTTTTATTGACACATAGTTCTTTTGCAAAAACTGTGACCTAATTTGGGTACATTTGTAGTTTCTGGAATGTTTGGTTTCTATACATCATGAATTATTACATCTGTATTTAACTGTGTCTTGTAAATAGTATTCTGTGTCAGTTTACCTCATAAAAATTTTGACACCACAACATCTGTTATTTGTATTGAAATCAAGTTGTTGGAATACCATACAAGATTAGATTTCAGGAAGTAAACGCTAAAAGTGGTCTTTGTTATACAACTCATTTTTGATGTATTCTTTGTTATACAACTCATTTTTGATGTATTGTTAAATCAATAAACACTAATGTAATTGTGGTACTCTCATGGTGCATTGTGGGATTCATATGGTGCATTGTGGGATTCATATGGTGCATTGTGGGATTCCTATGGTGCATCTTAATAAAAATTCAGTATTTTTTACATTGCGTCTAAATTGATGATTGTTTTCTGAAATTGATGTTTATTTAGCTTTTCATTTATATTCAAAAGTTATCATTGACATTTATTTCGATTTTTTTTCTGAAAAAAACTGATATTCACACAATGATTGAAAACCAGATTATTTTTTACCAAGCCTTAGTTTCTCGCTTAAAAAGGTGCAGTGTGTATTAGGACAACTTACGTCATCATTCTTTGTGTTGTCATGCATTTGATGTCATCATTCTTTGTGTTGTCATGCATTTAATGTCATCATTCTTTGTGTTGTCATGCATTTGATGTCATCATTCTTTGTGTTATGCATTTGATGTCATCATTCTTTGTGTTGTCATGCATCTGATGTCGTCATTCTTTGTGTTGTGATGCATCTGTTGTCATCATTCTTTGTGTTGTCATGCATTTGATGTCATCATTTTTCGTGTTGTCATGCATCTTATGTGATCATTCTTTGTGTTATGCATTTTATGTCATCATTCTTTGTGTTGTCATGTATTTGATGTCATCATTCTTCGTGTTGTCATGCATCTGATGTCATCATTCTTCGTGTTGTCATGCATCTGATGTCATCATTCTTTGTGTTATGCATTTTATGTCATCATTCTTTGTGTTGTCATGCATCTTATGTGATCATTCTTTGTGTTATGCATTTTATGTCATCATTCTTTGTGTTGTCATGTATTTGATGTCATCATTCTTCGTGTTGTCATGCATCTGATGTCATCATTCTTCGTGTTGTCATGCATCTGATGTCATCATTCTTTGTCTTGTCATGCATCTGATGTCGTCATTCTTTGTGTTGTCATGCATCTGTTGTCGTCATTCTTTATGTTGTCATGCATCTGATGTCATTATTCTTTGTGTTGTCATGCATCTGATGTCATCATTCTTTGTGTTGTCATGCATCTGATGTCATCATTCTTTGTGTTGTCATGCATCTGATGTCATCATTCTTTGTCTTGTCATGCATCTGATGTCATCATTCTTTGTCTTGTCATTCATCTGATGTCGTCATTCGTTGTGTTGTCATGCATTTAATGTCATCATACAGTTTCAGTTGGAGTAATTTAATCAGTATTTGTGTTCCAATTGATGTGATGTCATCTTTTTTTGCATTAGTTGACACTGAGGGCAGTATTATTGAAGCTGGCCCGTAAAATGGAGTTGTCCAATAAATTCAATCTGACTTTTGTTTGGTTACATACATTCTAGGTGCTGTTCAAATGTTAGTGACAACATGCTGTGGATTTTTTAAACTATATGTACCATGCTGTTTTTATCAACATGTCAAAAGGGAAGAAAATCCTCCGCATTTTTTAATGACAATGTTCTTTCTAGGTATAATGAGGTAGGTTGTTTCCTTTTGTGTTTCTCCTTTTGTGTTAATCTGTGTATACATTTTTTTTTAAATAGTGTATTTTTTCTTTTTTCTCCCTGTAGGTTCACAACGGTAGTGCTAGGTTTAGTTAGTCTGAAGAATATTGCAGTGTCATTTACAGAGACGATAAAAAGTACATCCCCTCTATTTACGGTACTCATAGCATTCGTTGTGTTACGAGAGAAGACTGGATTACTCGTCAATTTATCCCTAATACCAGTCATGGGTGGTCTGGCTTTAACAAGTGCATTTGAAATTAATTTCAATATTATTGGTTTTGCTGCAGCTATATCAACTAATTTTGTTGATTGGTAAGTTATGCTATGTATGCTGTTGATCAAAGAACATGAATAACTGATCTTAATAGCTAAACAATAATATTAAAACTAGCTGCTATTCAGAATGGAGATGCTGAATTGTTAGACATTACCATGCCCTCATTTTAGAAACTATGGCCTCTTTTGCCAAACCACCTCTAAATTGTAACTCAGTGTTTAATTAGTTAATTAGTGAACATTGAGTTACGGACAATATAAATTGCTATTCTTGTTGAACGTACACATTTAGTAACTCAAATTAACAGTTAACAAAACTTTTTGTTATGTTCAATGATGTATGTTGCAAGTAACTCGAAATTTGGTTAACTGTTAATTAAAATTTGAGTTACTAAACGTGGATGTTCAAATAAAGCAAAAATATATGTTGCCCATAACTCAAAGTGCCGAAAGTAATTGAACATAGTTACAATTTGGGTGTGGTTTCTAAGAATAAGGGCATGGTTATTTTTGTAACTAAAATGTTTTCCTGACTTAATATTTGTAACTTGATGTTCATAACATGAACAATTCAGCATCCCCTAGAGTGTCACTTTGATCATCTTTATTTCGTTTTGTTGCAGTTTCCAAAATGTTTTTTCCAAAAAATTGCTGAGTGGAGAGAAATACAATTATTCGTAAGTAAAGGTATCACCTTGTGGACTAATGTTTTGTGCATGTGAAAATAATCACTGATCTAGTTGGCCCCTGTCACAGTCTGACTTCACATGTTTAGTTTTGTTATATGTAGATAACATCACCTCAACTTCACGTGTTTAGCATTGTTGTATAGCTAAACATCACCTTAACTTCACATGTCTAGCATTGTTGTATAGCTAAACGTCACCTTAACT